TACATTTTATAAACTTAACTCAAATAGATAAAAAATTTAACATGAAATTTTAGAATTTTTAGGTTCACAGTTTTTAAATGTTATAAAGCTATATATTAAATATGAATTAACTTATGAAGCAGAATGTTTTAAATGTGCGCGCAAGTTGGAACATGACAAAATGTTGTCACAAAGCGGATTAAATTATAAAAAATATTTGCTGCAACACAAACTTTCTGATTACTATTTCAGAAAGCAGCTATATTATGTAGTCAGCTGTAAAAAGTTGGTAGTAATTGTTTTTAAAATAAATAAGTTATCCGAATTCTCGCAACAGTCACCTATTCGAACATCTTATGTTAAGGTGTATGAGCCACCTTAAATATTTATACAAGACCGTTTGAACTTGGATGGTAAGGAGAATCTTGCTGACGATCCGATCCTTTTCAAAAGCTCGAGTCAACGAAGCAGTAAAATTAGTTTCTTGATCCAAAGTAACAATCGGGGGGATTCCAGTGCGTGTAAAGATTTGCAACAACGCATCGCATGTTGATTTGGAATTCCGATTCTATTGCTTCAGGTCATCTCGTACATTGGTCAACAGCACACAAAACATATTTATAATCTCGGCAGCTTGGTTCTAGAGGTCCGAGGATATCCACATTAATTACCTTTTAATGGTTCGTTAGGACGTGTTACTGACGTAATCGAACTTCATCAAAGGGAGCTTTCTGAGCTTGAAGTTGACAAGAAGTACAAATATTACAATTTTCATTCACATCTTTCTTGATTTCAGGCCGATGGAAGGAATATCTCAATAGTTCTTCTTGCCTCACCCTCCCCATAAGCTAGAATGTATTAAGTCCAAAACTTGTTTTCTTCTTATTTTAGGAACAACTAACTGGTGAACTCTTTCTCCTAAAATTTCATCCTTATGATAAAAATAGTTGTCAATAAAGTTATTAGTTCTGTTATTAGCATCTTGTCAGCGTGTTTTTAATGGTCGATCATTCATTTGTTGAGCCCGAAACAGTTCTGCATCCGAAATACATTGATCTGGTCTTGTGCTACCTTTAGAATCATACTTACCTGTGTCTTCATATACAAGAGAGCGACATTCTATTATTTTCTTAACAGTTTCATTATATTTTTCATTAATTAGGTTTTCCTTATCATGATTAAATATTTTGTCAAAATTTTCAGTTTCATAAAGAGGCATTTCAATCAAACTATCATTAGTAATGTTTGCATTTTTGCATTCAAAATTAAACTTTAGTTTATTATATTCAATTAACTCATTAAAAGCTCTTAACAACAAAAGTAAATCATTACATAACTTATCAAATATCGTACATGTTATAAAATAGGTGATATAAATTTATCTTCTTCAGAATACGTCACTAAAAGTAGGTTAATGACAGGAGCTTTTAAAGATTGTCCGAAAGCTGACGTGAGGATGCTGACGATACCTTTCTGGTACAATATCAGCCTTATCAACGGTTTATTGTGTGCCTGTATGTGCTATTGCATTAATTAACTTACCATTACAAATAAGTTTAACAGTTGGATAGTCATCGATTAATTCTCTAACTTCTTGAATCACACTAAAATATTTAGAAATCTTTGCTGTACGGCGTTAGAATTACTCTTAATTTCTTCCTTATCAACCTTTTCCTTATCTTTATTCAACAATATATTATGATACTTAGAATTAAATTTTGAGAATTTTGGTTGAGAAGGGAAAATATTTGTTCTACAGTTCCTTTCGAAACAAAGAAAGCACCGATTAGAATCTTGTAAACTCTTTTTCTTTTCTTCCGGGAACAGAACGCATTTTTCCGAGACATTTTCCCTTTCACAAAATAACCAAGGAAAAGTTCGAACAGCTGGAATTTTGCGTACATTACGGGAATAGCCGGCGTCAAATGTATTGGCGTTGAATGAATTACGAGTGTGGAAATTAGCGTAACTCTTAGAATAAGATAAATTTAATGAAATCCGTTCGCGACTTTTGATTTCCCATTTTAGAAATTTCATGAGGTCTTCGATATCAAATTTTTCTTCATCTGCTTTCTGACGAGCAAAATCAAGAGCTATATCTTGAGGAATACATTTCATTGATTCCTATCGAATTTAGCGACCTTTACTTGTACGTTACACATGCCATATAATTCTCTCAAAGCATGAATATCATTCGAGCTTCGCACAGATCGTAAATTTAAATAGTTTATATATGTTCGAATTAATAAGAGCTTTTACGCCATATCTACCTTTAAGAATTTTAAGTGCTTCGTTGTAGTTTTCTGGCGGTAGTGAAAATCCGTCTATTGTTTATAAAGCTGCACCCGCCTAACAGGCTAAGCAAGTAATTAAATTTATCAACTTTGGATAGTTTTTCGTTTTGATTTATTGCCGTGTCGAAAATATTGTAAAATGTCTGCCCCAGTTCAGCGATTCCATAAAATTTATTGATCATAATTTTTAGCAATTTAACTTTGTAATCAGAACTTTTATTAACACCAGAAATAATAGGTAAATTATTACTGCTATTAGAAAAACCATTAAAAACTAGTAAATTATTGATATTTCTTTTTCCTTTCAATAATTTTGTGCCTCTGAAATTCCATTTTGTAATCTTTTCTTCGTATTCCAAGGCACTTTCGACTTCGGCTTCAATGTCATTAACATCGGTTAAAGTTTTATTTTTTTCATCTAATTCTTTCAAAGAAACTGCACTTACTTTTAAAATTTTCAATGCTTCTTCTACGTCTGCAATGTTACGAGCAGTTACCAATTAACGATTCAATAGAACTTTGGTGATGGCTGAACGCATGTATTCCTCGTTCTCATAGAGTAGGATGTCACATTTGTCTCGCAAAGGCTTTGTTTAAAACACAGAGAAAAGTGGGAGGAGTAATAAAAAAGTAGCATAAAAATGTTTTCTGTGATAGTTGGCGTGCGGATCCTAGCATTCGAGGCATGGACGATTTGAACAGTTATATATTACACTCATTGCCATAAAAATTTGTGAACCAAGCAAGATTTGTCAGAATGAAGCGGAATTTTACATACGTAAGTACTACTTGGATATAAGTAAGTGGTTAGAAAATCAAAGAAAAAAGGGATCATTTATTGCAGAAAAAAGTACACATGAACGGAAGTTTTAGTACTATGTTGGACCACCTCTAGCACGAATGCACGACGCTATACGAGCGGGCATTGAAGCCAACAAGTTCCGTATGGTGTCCTGAGATATCTCGTTCCGCAGTTGCTGTAAACGCGCCTTTAGTTAGGCCAATCTCGTAGCCTGTCCAACTTGCCGTCCCAAATGATCCCAGATATGTCCGATTGGTAGCAAATCTGGGGATCGAGCAGGCCAGGTAAGTGTAGCGAGTGAGACAGTCTTGTGAGATCCGTGCTGTTTGTGGCCGAGCATTGTCTTCTTGAAAACAGGCTCCTGAGAGCACTGCTATGAGTGGCAATACATGTGGCTGAAGGATGTCATGGACGTACCGCTGGCCTGTCATTGTGCCATGGATCAATATTAGGGTTGATCTTGTATCGTAAGCAATGGTACCCCATACTATCACACCAACTGGAAACGGTGTGTCGTGTAAAGCGAAGGCAGGATTGAGGCGTTCACCACAGGGTCTCCACACACGAACACGATTGTCACCACTGGTAAAACTGAATCTAGATTCGTCGCTGATGACGACTTGGTTACGTTCCGTTAAAGACCAATCCTGTCGTGCGCGACACCAGTGCAGACGGAGACGTCGATGGTGGTCATTGGCACCACACGTAATGGGCGCCACGATATCAGATGTCCTTCAACCAGGTGCCTTGCAATGGTTCGGGAAGACACATGGGCCCGAAATGAAGCTGCTGCCTGTGTCTGGATAGCGGCCAATGAGGCAGTTGGCTCTACGAGTGCGTGTCGTATGAGGTGACGGTCTTCTCGACGACTGGTCTGTCGAGGGCGTCATGAGCTTGGTCGCCGTGTAATGACGTCTCTTCTGTCCACTGGTTTCAACACTTCCTCACAGTAAAATCAGAATGGCCTACCTGACGAACTACTCGCCGAGCTGACCACCCAGATTACATCATCCCGATGATTCTTCCCCTCTCGAACTCTGACAACTGCCGATACTGGTTTCGAAGGCGGCGTAAAGGCATGTCTACCTAAGCGTTTTCTTAGCAAAAGATTAAAGACACTCAAAAAAGATCTGCTTACCTGTTTTATACTCCAAGAAGAACGAAGTTCAACGCTTTCTAGTGGCATTACGCAATGCGCAATTACGCTGTATTTCTAATCATTTTGCATATTTACCGACAAGCACCTTCATGCCAAGTTTCATTACGATTCCACAATTATTTCTTGGTGCACAAATTTTTCTGGCAATGAGTGTATTTTAACAGTTGCAAGCAATATGGTTTAATACATTTTTTAGTAAAACGTGCAGAAAATCTGGAAAAAATCTGAAAAATACTGAAACGCTACAATCAAAGATATCCATACATTTTGCTATTTCGGATTTTCATACTTTTGAAGTATCACTATAACAGTATAAAATAGCATTAAGTGTATAGGAAACTAGACGTAACCAAAAATTTCGTTCGTTACATCCGGGGACTTGATATAAGCCAGATTCTTATAGAAGTGTCGGAATGAATTCTTACGAATGTGGGAAGCTTCAAAAATGTATGTACAATTCGCCACCCGAGTAAGCCTTTTTCTTAACTTCCTTTACCCCCTCTCTTAATGCTCTCTAGGGTGCAGCCCATTTTTGGCTATAAAGTGAATTCATATTCACTAGGTGTGACGGGCTGTTCTCGGATTCTAACTGATTAACTAACTAACCCAAAGCCCTTTTTAGAAAAAAAAAATCAGACATTTCTTTAAAAGGAATTCACTATTAATAAATTACTAAGCTTCTTAACAGTTATTTTCTTTTATTTTTAAAGATATCAGTCGTAAGGTATTAAGAAAACTAAATCCGAATAGATGTCAAGAACTTTACTTTTATGTTAACTATGCCTCTTTCTTCCAAAACATATCCTTTCATTTTTTCCAACAGCTGCTTAAACGATTCACTGCAATGAATCCGAAGAGCTGCAAGAAAAATACTGAAATTAGTACTGACACAACTACATATGGCATTTCAATGTAATGGGTAATTAAAATAAGATGATTATAACGCAAAATATATATTTGAGCAAAAAACTACTTTAGTATGCTTTTTAAGCTTCAGTATAGAAGTCAGAAGGTAGCTAAGTGATTCTCGAATACTCTTAATATAGACTATGATTACCCACTGTAATTTTGGTTGTTAAAAGTACCAACCTACATAAGTACAGGAAAAAAGTTCAGCGATTTTCTACTACTACTATGAAACTGCAGATACTTCATACATATGAAGACCAGCGAGTCAATGAGAAATGTCCTTCAGTTAGAAAATAAATATTTATCTTAATCTCTTCCCTGCCAAAGAAATATAATTAATACCTCAACATGAATTTTATTCCGTACCAAAATAACACACTTTATTTTAATAAATAAAAATAAATGGATAATTTTTTAAGTTTTGAAACATTGATGTAACACAGCATTACCTAAATCATTTCTCTTGAGCCGTTTTTGTTTGTAAAAAGGTCTCAAAAACATTTCACATGTCATGCGGTTTTATCTTTGCTATAAACGGTTATTGTCTGACTTGCTGTAATGCATAAAAATTTTCCCATTAATATCGCGGGTTTCTGCAATAGTATGGCCCAATGTATCTGTAAGAAGTATTTAGAATTTGCATATGAATGATAGAAAATTGTCTTGGTTTCATTTCTGAAATGTGAATTTCCCTCTTTCAGTGTTTTTGAAATGGATATATGAACCTCAAAAGCAATATGGTGACCGGTATTTGAAATTATATAAGTACAATTTCACTGGCCTTTTCTACTTGAACAAATATCCAAATAGTAGCTAACATCTTTTAATTCTTAGACTATAAGCAGTTAATGTAATCCCCATGTCCTTAAAATTCGTAATTTTTGGGGTTTGGGAATAGAGATGGAATTTGAACAATTACATAATGTTCCCAAAAAGCATAAAATCTCTTATTTTGGCAATTAATCAGTGAAAGGTTAAGAAATTCCTTTTGCCCCAAAAAATTTGCTTTCTTATTTTTTTATACAAATAAGGCAAAAGACAAAAAGTTATCTGCTTAGGAGGAGGGAACCTTCGTCGGAGGAACGAAAGACTATGAGATATTTACTTTACACAGGATAAAACTAAATTTATACTGACAAGGCTTTTGTCAGTATTCGAACATGGGCCAAATTACCAGTGGTCTCATACATTCAGTGACCGGGCATCCATTAGACGAAAATGAGGATAATGATTTTTTCTAGTGTGAGATTTCTTTGCATTGATTGCTGTTAGGATTTTCTTTCTTTTTCCCATGTATGCTTATGATCCTTAGTAACAACTTTAAATAAAGGTATATCAACTGGAAATTATAGCCACTGTTATTTCTTCATTTAAAAAATGATATGATAAACATTTAAAAAATTTATATGTAATAATATCTACATTTACTGGAAAAATAACTGCTTGAGTATGGCTACAAGTAGACTGCTGTGCCTTGCACAGATTTGATAATTTGTCATTATTCACGTCATTGTACAATCAGGTGCTTATTTAAGAGTCAGAAAGGTCTTTGTGTTAGATATTGCTCACAGAATAACATTTGAAGATAAAATAATGCTTAGCTACATAAGTAGAACATTCACTTACTGCTTCAACAAAGTTACATTCTAATGCCGTGTTTTACAACATTGAATAACTTCTTGATAAAATATTAATAAATTAATTAACACAACTTATTTGGATACCATTCTGCAGTAAATAAGCAAACATTTCCAGATTCAGATTGTTTTTCTGCGTGTAAGGTTTGGTGGTATTCTGTTATGCCTATAGTCGGTACAGTAGTTTCTGTCTACACTTTCTAGTCTATTTTGTTGCTCCTCAAACTGACAAAATATAAATGCTTTATCAACGGAACTATCTAAGTTGATATACATTTTTAGGCACTAACTAGGCAAGCCAGTTAGCTAATTTTACAACACTGTGAAAATATTATATATTGCTGCTTTTACTAATTTTTGTAATATTGTTTACTGTACTATCATATGGCAATAACATTATTAACAATATAAAGACAGTACTGCAATATATTTAATGAACAGTATTTATTCAAATGTCACAAAATTCACTTTGATGTTAAAATTTTAGTTGCTATAAAGTCTTCAATAAAAGTAGGGTAGGGGAAAAAACTTACACTAGAAACGAAAGTTGATAAAATTCTCATCTGTATCAGCACACCAATCATCTATGTCACGTACTATCTTTCTTCATATAAGTGCATAAATAATAAACATATAAAAAAAACTCAAACATTCTAAGAGAGAAGCACACTTTTTACTGTGTTACGTGGTATATGGTATTAGAAATATATAATACAGTAATGTTACAGATCTTGTGAAAACTATCATTTGAATATATTATAAGTTGCATTAATTAGATTTCCTGTTAAGTTGGAAAAAAGATATAAATTATGCTAATATCTTGGATCGTGAATGATAAATGACATGAATGGTAGCTTAACATAATGTCATGTGATGGCCACTAAAATTAGAAAAAGCTATAAAAAATTTTTACATTAAAACTATGAGAAGAATTTAATTTATTTTTTATCTTTCATATTAAAATAAATTGAAAAAATATTTAAACACAATTTTAGAAATTTATTGGAAGATGTTTATTATGGCATGACATTTTAAATTTATTTGTACTTTTGAAAACCCTTTTTGAAGAACAAGAATATAAATTGAAGAACATACGCAGACCAGTGGATTCCATTCTAGAAGCTGTATTTACCGTATCTCCAAAAAGACAGTATCTAGGCATTTTCCGGCCCACTACACCAGCACATACAGGTCCTAAATAAAAGAAAAATTTTATTATTTTAATAAAAATATTATTTTGCAATTTATAAATTTGCTTTATTTACGAGTTGAATATAAATTTATTTTAGAACAAATTTGCTTCATTTATAAAATAAGTCGACTCATGGTCAAAAACTTCACTGAACACTATGTTTCGATATAAACATTGTTAAAATAAATAAGATTGATTAGTTGAATGTGGCCACATCACACGCATTTTCCCCTTCGCCTTCTCTAATATAAGTGCTTCATTTAGGTTCTACAACCTTTCATAATGACTTGACGTTTCATAATGTTAACCCGAATTGGCCCCAACGTTTGGAGGATCAGTGCACCGAATGGAATTTCAGTGTAAAGTCAAATCTGTTAAACAACTCTTCAAGTAATTATTTCTGAAAACAATGCATAAAAGCTGCAAACATCTTACACACTATTTTAATTTTTCGTGTTTAATTCTGTTAATTTCGATAGTAGTGGATGCATGATAAACTATTATTTCTAGACATTTTATCTCAAGTTCAGTATAACAGTAGACCAATTGTAACAGTAGACCATTTATTCAGCAACAGTAGGCAATTTATTCATTTATAGCATAACTGTATCATTTAACTGCTTTTAATAGAATCATTTTCCTCTTCGTTTCCTATGAGGTGATATAATTATGAAGAAATGAACGTATTTCCACAATTCAATATTTTATTTTTGAAAGAAGCAACACTGAATGTCGACATATACGTTTTTATCAAAAAATTTAAGAATCGTTATTTATGTTACAACCTTAATTTCAACACTTATAAGACAAGAAAACGTCAGTAAAATACAAGAATGTGTGTTAATTTCTTAAATATCAAGTTGCTAACTCATGCATGTAAAAATTTCTGATGTAAATCAGAACAGTGTTTGCTCATTTAAAGATTGGAAATTTTTGTTTACAGAATATTTATTGAAAAATTTAAATAATTACACTATCACTGTTCAAAGTAGTTCTTGCCCAATTCAGTACACTTAAGTCAAAGTTTTACCAGCGCACAACTATTGCAAGAAATAAATTTTTCCTGACGGAAGCGCAGCATACCGTATAACTGTTGACCAATGTTTGAAAATCTATGTTTATTTCTCCAGTTTTTTTCAGCTCATCGTGAATGATCTAATCGGAAGATTCAGTCTTAATGTCTAACAGTAGAGCTATCTCCTTCATTGTGATGTGCTTGCATTCCTGTATCATGTTCTGCATGGCTTTATTGTAATCCTTCTCAACTGCTGGACGCAAGTCAAGAGAATTTTTCACACTAGTGATGACGCTTTTCATTCTCATTTCATTCATACATTTACATATGATTCATACACCTGTCATCTTATCATTCCTTTCTCTTTCGCATCGATATGACAGTATTTTAATGAGAAAGTGCTTATCAGCCTATTTAATCCTTTATTCACTTTGTTTAAACATCTCACTGGAACTGTGTCTTTCGAATTACTATAAACTGGAATTGTGTCCCAGGACATTGTCAATCTTAAACTGATACAGACTCAAAAGTATGGTATTGATAAAGCGGAGTAAACAAATTAATGAGAACATAATTGGGACGCAGCATATTCTATTCTAAATTGACTTTGCTGCAGGGTATGGCTGTGCATTGATATAGTTATATTACAGCTGTGCATCGATACATAAATTTGGGATGCTCAATGCAATAACAAAGAAATCACATGGGTACAGAATCGTATGCAGTTATTTAAAATATTGCGTGCTTATCCATGATTAATGATTCAGGAAAAGGAGCCCCGCAGCTTTCGTCTTCAAGAAACATAATCCAGAGCAGCACTACTCGACGACTATATTGAGTGAAGCCTATGCAGATGTATGAGCACAGAAAGGTTCCGAACTCTGCCTTTATAGACTATACAGTGGTTCAATTTGATCATTACTCTTACCCCATTTTACTATCACATATCCCCAATGTTGTGTAGCAAATTCATTTAATTATTTTAATTATAACTTATCAAAATTTAATTTATTAATTATTTAAAATTTATACTACACAACGTGTATTTTCATTAATTGTATTTTTTTATTTTTTTAATATTTATCAGAACTTGGTACGAAAGTTTTAGCAAGCTCCATTCATTCATTGCTTGAAGACGTGTTTCTCACACAATGGATTTGGGTAAATTTCCACGTAATAAACTAGGATTTTTGTGACTTAATTAAAGTTTAACTCTTAATATTTAGTATCAGTAGAAGCAGAAAAATTAGCTCTTTAATTTGAGATTACTTTCATAATTCTAGCTTTAACAGATTTTGAGTTATAGCCATTTCATTAACGAAAAACTTGCTAAGTCATTGTTTAACAAAAATGGTAAAGAAGTTTCGAAAAAGCTCACTTTGTGACAAAACTTTCGTGTTCGGTTGATGCGGGAAGCGATTTCCTGTGGAGGTAGCTTTAGGTTTGCCGGTTGAGTTACAGCATTTAAATAGAAAACTATATTCACATATCGTCTCATCTCGTACATGTTTTCCTATGCCTTCAGGTTAGTTCACCAGCTAGCAGTTTATAGAATTAGTGTTTTTATGTATTTATTACACATTAACAGGATCACCGTTAGCATGCCTGTATGTATCAGTGTCATGGAACTTGCTTGCCAATTTGTGATAGCAATTATTATTCCCACACTAGAACACATGTACGTATACATATGTCTATGTTACTTTCGGTGTCATAATATTTACGGTGTTATTATCAGTTTATATTTTCCCAACTTGTAATTACTTATTACACTCACATTGATTTTTATATGGTACACATATATATCGCAATATCTTTTAACTATACTAGGGGTTTCTGCTTCAATATAATAGCTTGACAAGTTTACTGTTTCTTAAAATTATTATTCTCTTTTCAGTAATTCTTGTATGAATACATTTATTGATTTAAAAATTCCTGATCTTCGTCTGTAATGGAATCTGAATGTGTCTATGTTTGTATTAACCGTATTTATTTAAACCAGCAAAAGTATTTTAATAATGATTGTACATATATTTATTTATAATATCTGTAACGAAATTCCTATTCGTATACGTAAATCAGCGATGCCCGCGTCAGCATTTGAACTATATTTAAAATAGTTAATGTATTTCAATAGCGACTGTAATATAAATGTAATTATTTGTATTAGCGATGCCCTATTAATATATTTTGGGCTAGTTAATGTACTTTCAAAATGTATAAGTATACCCCTGTATTTACTTACAAATTTACCTTCTGTGTTACAGGAACTGAGTACCTGCATATTTGTTTCAGGAAATTTTGCATCATCGTATTTATTTGAATCAGTTAATGTATTTAATAGTGACTGTATATTTACATGTAATTATTTGTAGTAATAGTATTCGGTACTTGTACTTTCGCATTAGTGATGCTCGCATCAACATATTTAGGAGTATACACATGTATTTATATACCAACTTAAAGTGTCTGTGACAGAAATTCGGCAATATGAAGAATTCCTTCTTTAAATGATTGATAGATTTGCACACAGTGATAATGCTTCATAGCCAGAACATTGTTCCTATTCCCCCTCCAAAATGTTTTTCCCTTTATAGTTCCCCATACATTTTCCATTTTATTTTACTTTATTTTTCTTAATTAATCACTCGCTTTCCCTTGCAAAGACCTCTGGAGAACTTGATCTAAGGCGCTAGAAATAATTTTAGTCGTTGACGGGACCTAAACAGGTTGCCAAGAAACTTTCTTAAGCGGACCGGCTGTTCCGCCGGCGAAGAAACGAAAAGAAAAGAGAAGCCCGTCTGGGTATCTAAAATAGCATAAAATAGGTACTTTTCCAAATGAATAAACAGGAATAGATTCCTTAGGTCCCTACCCAAGATCTGAAAGCAATAAAAACAGATACTTACTCATTATTGTCAACCATTTCACGAAATGGTTAGAAATAGTCCCCGTTAAAAGAGCCTCACCTCAAACAGTATCTGATTCTTCTTGAAATAAATGTATCTTAAAATATGGTGCATCACTTAGGGTTATATCAGACAACGGTCACCAGTTTATTAGTCTAATTTCGAAGATTTATGTGCAGGGCTTAGAAAACGTCACTTAAAAATGGTTCCTTATTGGCCACACTCAAACATCGCAGAACGCGCAAACAGAAATATAGTGAAAACTATTCGTTGTTATGTAAAAATTTGCCACCGACGCTGGGATGACTGCTTCAACGAATTGGCTTTGCTCTAAGAACAGCAAACACGAAACAACCGGAGAAACACCGTTGGAGAAGGATTTTTAGAAAGGAAAATAATTACCCTCTTGGACGAACTGCTCTTTTTGCAGGAAAGTGAGGCAGAATTAAATTAAATGGCATTCAGAAAATGATTAAAAAAGAAGTTTGAAAATCGGATACTGCAAGGGCAAAACAAAATTTTTATTACGAAAAGCATTTGTTTTATATATGTAAACTACTAAGTGATTAAAATATTTTGAATAATGACCAGTTCAATTAAAGTCTGTAAATGAAGGTTTAAAGATTTGTTTTACCAGCTTAATTAGTGAGCTATTGAATGTCAAAAATAGTAAACTTACAAATTAATATGGGTATGTTAATTTTGGAATGAGATATGTGATATTTTTCATCTTAAGGTTCATTAACTATTGTAAGCTGTAATTGTGTGCTACATTACATGTTACTTTTCATAGTAAAATATGTGATAGGATTACTGATCAGTTATCCAATATTTAGTAATATAATAATATTCTAGAAATCAATAAATATGTCTGTTTAAAATTGAATTGCATTTGCGTATTTATCTTGTGTGTATATTTTTACGGTGATCTGTTCTGTCATTCCATTTTTTTGAGCCGGGAGGCTTTTAAGAAACATACAGCTTTCATTGAATTTGGAGTTATTGTTATTTTCCTTTTTTTACATAGGTTTTTCTCATAACGCGAACCTAAAATTTTATTGTACTACCGCTATACGATTGTTCTTATGATGAGTTTGATTTTGAGTTTTTGTCCGGTACCAGGTAGTTAAGGAAAAGTCAGTTTAAAGTTTATAAGGTATTTCTCCCACCTTCTTGGCGTGCTTTCGTGGTGTAGTGGTTTGCCCACTGGGCCGGTGTTCCACAGGTCCGTGGTTCGATTTCCGGCGAAGGCGATTGCTCATTTTTCCTCTCTCCGGCTTTTCCAATTAACCTAATGTCTCTACAGTGGCGCCCGAACTAAAAGGGTGTTGGATGATGATTTCTCTCCACCCAGGATTTGGCGATTGGGTCCCCTAAAAACCCCAGTCACCCTTTAAAAGGGGGAGTATATAAGGTATTTCTCCCATTTTCTTGGCGTGCTTTCGTGGTGTAGTGGTTTGCACACTGGGCTGGTATTCCAGAGGTCCGTGGTTCGATTTCTGGTGAAGGCGATTGCTCATTTTTCATCTCTCTGGCTTTTCCTTAACCAAATGTCTCTACAAGTTTTAAGGTTAAAGGCTTAGAAGTTTTAAAACACCTTAATTTTCAGTAATTCAACACTATTGCCCAGCAGCACTTTATATCCATTTAAGCTTTAAGTGAAAAGGTTATTTTTAAACTTCTTTAGATTTGTTATTGTTTCAAACTAAATCAATAACTAGTTTCGAGTCTTGTAAGGTCTACAGGACAAGTTAACACAAGCATACAAGCATAGCAGAAACCTACAAAGTCATTAAACGTATTTGAATCAAAGCGAAAAGAAAGTGAAGAATAGAAATGATAAATTAAAATGATTTCAAAAGTTTTACCTGAGTGTATTCCGATTCTAAGCATGAGCTTGTCATATATTTTATGTCGTATTGGAAATTTCTTGATTGCATCCAATAAATGCAAAGACATTGAGGCAATCTCTGATGCATGATTGTCACCATTTCTAACAGGAAGGCCACTGACCACCATGTATGCATCCCCTATGGTCTCTACTTTGTAAACATCGTAATTTTCAATAATCGAATCGAAACACGTGTACAGGTCGTTAAGGAAATCAATGACCTAAAAATGAAATAATTGAATATTATTGAGTATGATTTAAGATATATGAAAATTACAGAAAATACGGAATGAGTTTTTCAAATTCAAAAAATTCTTGAATGCTACTGAACATGGTTTCAAATATACAAAGGAAGCTTTCGAAAAATTTTTTCCCACCTTGAAAGAGAAAAGTGGCCCAAATAAATCCTCAGGAACAACTACCTTTTTTATATATAACGTATTTAAATGCAGTAAAAGAAGTTTAAATTTTAATTATTAACTTGCTTATAGACTAGTACGTTACAGTATGCATGGTCGTCAGAGCAGAATTAACCATCAAGCAAAATAAGCACGTGCTTAGGACGTGAAAAAAAAGAGGCCGACACAAAAATTTCCCACTGCCCCATTTCTAGCATGGAACGTGTGTGACAAGGAATAAAGGAAAACATGCAAATGTGTGTGTGCTTTTCAGGGTCTTTAAAGTCTTAATCTAAATCTGATGATCATGGATAAAAACATTAACTCTTAGATCATACAGAAACTTTCTCAGAAACAGTTTGAGAAGTAAAATACTTCCCTGATGAGTACAGAATATCTCCTAATTAATTTAAAATTACTTTGAATTTTCGTGCAGCTAATCACATTTCTTTAGCTGAAATTCCCACCAGTATATATATATATATATATAGCGTATATATGATTGGGGCAAACCTTTATTTTTTTTCAAAAAACAAATATTATATGACTTTCAAATGCTTCCGAAGTTTATGTTTTTTTAAAATCTTTTTGATGGTTATGTATTATATGAACAAATATTTATTTTAAATATTTATTGACTAAAAATGTTTCCTTTTGAAGATGGAACTAGCTTTTAAACTGCAAGTAGCAAGAGGCGTAAAGTTTCAAAGATTTGTTATAAGTTTTCTTATTTGAAGTGAAATGTTTTAAAAATGAAATGAAGAATGTAGAAAGCTGCATCAAGAGAGAGGATAGCAAATTGATTTTATAAATTATCTTATAAAAATTTTCCGCGAAATTGATTGCATTGCATTCTTGCTAGGTTTAGATGACAGAATGGTTTCTGCTGAAAGACAATTAACATTATTTCCAAAAATAAATTCATTTGGAGATCTTCTATCTAATTTAATCACCAAATTTTTAAACTGTAAAAGAAATTGTATTGTAACTCACTTCCAATGGACTACTTTGCGCCGACATTGATGTAAAGCCAACAACGTCACTGAAGTAGATAGTAACGCAGTCGAAAGACTCCGCTTCTACTTTGAGACCTCGTTTTAATTGGTCGGCAACGTACCTAAAAATATTTACTGGTATAGAATGCATAAGATGTAGAACTACATATTTTCGTGACATTCCGTAATGTATAAGATATAGAACTACATACTCCATTTCAGATTTATTACTCTGTCAAGTTATTGGGTTGAACGTTTTCACAATAAATGATTAAAAAAAAAGTAAAACTTTTCGTGCATTATTTATTTGAAAATTAGAAAAGCTATTGTTAAACTTTTAATTTATGTAACAAAAATTTCCTCGCGGGCCCCCCCCAAAAAAAAATTGGGGAAGGGAAGAAAAGAATATTTTCACAATTTGAGGAAAAGTTTTTTATTTTTCACAAATATTTCTAAAGTTATTCAAAAATTTATTTAATATAATATAAGTACGTAAAGAAGTGCGAAACTGCATGCACAGTTAATCTGATTTAGTTATTTAAATTAAACGAAATTATAACTTTTGAATATGCTTTAATGAACTGCATAAACATTATTAATTATAAGTCAGTTAAACTGATATAATAGTTCTTAAAATTAATTTTACGGAAGCTACATATTTATTTTCTAAAAATAGCAATTCAATTGTATGCATTAACGAAAGTAAGTGACATAATACAGAGGTTTCGCTATTCAATTAGACTGTTTAATTTATAAGGTATTTCTCCCACCTTCTTAGCATGCCTTCGTCGTGTAGCGATCAGCACGCTCGCCGCCTATGCGCGAGGTCCGTGGTTCGAGTCCCGGCAAGGGCACTGCTTATTTTTCCTCTCTCTTTCTTCAAAAGTAACTAAATGTCACTACAGTGGCGCCCGAACTAAAAACGGTGGTGGATTATGACTCTCCACCAACAGGATTTGGCGATTCGGTCCCCTAATCCCCAGTCGCCCTTTAAAAGGGAGAGTATATAAGTTATTTTTTCCGCCTTCTTAGCATGCCTTCGTGGTGTAATGGTCAGTACACTCGGCGCGTATCGAGAGGTTTGTGGTTCGAGTGCCAGAGAAGCATTGCTTATTTTTCATGACTTCTGCTTAAAAAAATTCCGAATATCTCTACAAATTAATTATCATGAAAATATTGTTTATGTTAGAAGTATTAACCTATATATGAATAAGTGTCATTAGAGAAAAACGCTAGAAATTATCGTTTGTCTCTTTTAGAAGGCTATGGGTCCTTCAAGCATGCCAGGTATAACGAGGGTAATTTCAGTTGTGATACATACCTAACATGCATGCAGTTTTCTGATGCATTCTCTAATTACAATTTTAGCAGAAGTGTGCATTCTGTCTTTATCATTCCTTAAAGATTCTACACAGCCGCTCCTTCGACATACTAGGAATGTCAGATCTGGAGAAAGAAGCTACCTCAGAATTTTAGAAACTGCTCTGTCCTTGAAGAACTGCTAAAAAGTCAGAAATGTCACAGGCTTCTGGGACTACTTGAAGACTACCCAGAAGCTAGGCTTTACCTAGCTTCTTGGAAATAATCAAGAAAAACTTCCATCCCTTTAACGGTGAACATTTCTGGAAGTCAGTTTCTTGCACTGTATGCATTATCGTAAAATTCTTTTGATAACTCTGCGCCCTTTTCCAGTCTAGAATCTTTTTCTTAATTGTGTTAGTGTTGTCAATATTGTAGTGTGTATCAAGGAGCCATGTGTATGCAATATCTATCTCTCAAGAATAGAATGGTCTAGCAAAACTATAGGACAGGTAAAATTCTCTGAAACTTGACTGAGAATGAGTCTTGTCTGAGCCTTCAGAATTTCATTTCAATGTAAAACTGTATCGTATTATTATACTTCTCATGCACTCAGAAGGTCATTCAGAATGGATGATTTTGCCCTTTTATACCCTATACATGAAATCTCATCTTTTAACATCATAGAGTTTGCCTTGATGTTGTCACACAAAATCTCAAAATATAAGCAGCCATCGTTGAATTCATTTATAGCCTGAAAAATACGAAATTCCTTTTGCTAAATTTCTTTTCTTTCTCAGTGATTAGGTCTGTGACAACTGTCTTACGTCGCTCCAGAAGTGCTTCCTCTGGAGCACACAATTTCGATATTCGCAATTCCATATAATCAAGTTTTTAAAGCGAAGGTGTTCCATGGTTCGGTGTTCATAATACATGCGAAAAATATCATTGAGTCCGCCCAAAAGTATGTATTCATAGGAAAATTTAAAACTTCTAATATTGTCAAACCGGTTTTAGCTCCCATGGTAGCTCCTAAAAGCTTCAATCGCGGAAATGTTGGCCTATAAACAGGAGCTATTCTATCCTTTGCAAAATCATTGAGACTTTATATGAATGATTGAAAACTCCCGGAAACTATCCACATAATAGCACTATTATAGATATATAAATGAAATAGAGCCCATTATGCATATATGAGACATCATTGCTAGATGTGAAGTTTTTCATCTGGGATATGCAACAACATGATCGCTGATGACCTTCATATTTCTGTTGTCTCGATCCATTTCTATCCGAGTTTAATCTGCCTATAATATATTTCATTTTTGTAACAATTAACTTAGAACATATTAACGTAGAAGTGAAACATTTATAAATCTGTCATACGCAATGTCATATGCGGCAAATTAAATATAAACATAAGAATATTCAGACACATATTTGGAACTTATTTAGTAAATAAATAACATTGTCATAAGATCGATGAATAGGAAAAATGTATGCATATAATAATTCTTATATTCGTAATAATTAGGAGCTGTTAAAAGAAATGAAGAAATACAGCGACCTATTTCACAGCGCATTTGTGAAAACTAGGTACCCATCAGATATAACTACTCATATTTCTCTTTCAGAATATAAAAAAGTCTTCGTTTGCCAAGGCATCGTAAGGATTTATGCTTTCTTTTTAACTTACAGGTATCAGGAAATGCTTCATCAGAATACTATTAAACTGAATCTGAATAATATTTATGTTAAAGAAGGGTCACAAAAATGAGATACTATTGAAACATAGAAGTAAAAAACATAGATTAGTTATTAGTAAATTTTAAATACATTAAAAAAGTGTGACTGTAAAAAATAGATGGGGAAAAAACTCTTTAAAGCCCATGAAATCATTAAGCTGCAAATTACAATATCTTTCTTAATCTGCATATTTATTAAAAACATTTTAATTCATAAATGGAAAGATATATCATGACCAAATGTTAAAATTCTGATATTTTACATAAAGTTTATATCAAATGGATGATAATTGTATATTAACGATGACATTTGAAGCTGCATGAAGGGAAACTCATTTCATTTATTTGCTCTAAAAGAAATGTTATTCATTTCCGAGGATATACTTATTACGTAAAGGAAATAGCAACCTTTTTCTGGGAAAGGGCAAGAATGAGGGGTATGAAAACGTCAGCAAACTCGTTTTTGCAGTCGTGGCTTATAATACATCTTATTATCAGAGAAAATTTTTTGATTTAGCACAAAAAGAAACTGGATGTCATATGGCGAACAGGAAAAGGAACGAGCATTTTGTATTTCGGCGTTGTGTCATCGAAGCAAGGTGATTGCAGTTTTTATTTTACTGATTCTTCAAAACTAGTTTCCGAAACAACTTTTTTTTTTTTTGTTTTTAATCTGCTTCACATTCCCAGCAAGCTGGATGTTCCAATAATAATCTCAGCTTCGACATGCTCGATTGTTACCCAACTGAGCTATGAGTTCTATATTTTCTCTAGGTATAAGATTTAAGGAGGCTGTTTTGAAGTAGGAGATATGAAAAATTAGTAATGCCCTCCCCGGGACTCTAACCTGGACCTCTTGAATATGCGCCAAGTGCACACCAAGAAGACATGGTTTAAGGCGTTAATCTACTGGATAGCAACGGACTTGGGCAAACTGACTAACCTATGGTAAAAAGACTGTGCTCGCGTCTGCCATAAACAGGTCAACATTGAAAGAATACAAAATTTAAAATCTTCCCCGAGTACAAATGTCTATGAGAATAAAATTTTTATAGTCAAACAAAAAATAATCGAAAACGCCTTTATACATTTAGTAAGGATTTCATACTTTACAATAAATCTTGTAATGTGGCTCTTTATAGATGCTTCAAGCACGCTGTTGCTTTGCCATCTGCCTGGTTCGGTTCGCTTTTGAAGTCAGAAAACGATTTTCTATTCTGGAAGTGATGGCAATTAATTACAGGACTACATTATTTTGGGCAGCAAAGTATCTTCGATACAATCCAAACTACTCTCACATTCTGGAAAGATTCTCACTTCACATTTTGAAGTATAACTGCAAATTTGGATACCTCTAATTGATTTTGTCCCCATTCCATTCTTTCAATCACCAATCATTTTCCACATTAATTTCAATGCTTTCTTCTTAACATTTCAAAGTAAGCTATTTCCGAATGATATCATCAGCACTTAGGTAAAACTTTTGCCACTGGGGCGATCAATGAACTTATCGCTTTTCTTAACATACAACAAATAAATGCAAAATATGTCAAGACCACGTGTGGTGAAATTAATTAAAATTCTACACTTATTTTTGAAGAAAACATTAATTCCGACATTTTAAAATTATTATCTGGCTGTTTTTGTTCGCAAAACCGTTCATGACATTGTAGAAACCTATTTGATTGCTCCAGTTTCTGTTATGTAGACAGAAGAGGCAGTTTTCATAAATGCAAAATATACATTTGTAGTTCTTAAATTCTCCTTAAATGATTTTTATTTAGAAAAGCTTCTAACTATTAGCAACATTTTCAGGAACTGATAGGAATGTTCGCAGAAGTATTACAATATTCAGAACTTCGTTCAAGAGATTGTATTGTAGAATAAAGTGCAAAAACGCAAAAGAATGACTTTTTCAGTTCTTGTTTCGATTTCTTTAGCAATAACGACAAAAAACTCTGAAATACATTTTCTTATCTAGGAATTCTTCCTATGAATGTTACTATGATCATAATTTAATTGATATTAGTAATTTGCATTCGGAAGTTTCGACGGAAGAAGAAAAGGTGTAAAAACGTGTGTAGCTGTTGAAGTCGCGTAGTGATTTCTTTGAATACTTTAATTAGTAGCTTGACGATCCATCCGATTAATTCATGTAAAATTATTTTTTACTCCAAAAAAATGGCACCCCTATAAATGTGCTGTTCGGGGCTGACCGCTTTCCTAGCTATACCTCTGATTACATTTATAATCAAGCATGCAATAATCGAACTTACGGATTAAATTAGGTTTCTGAAATATGGCAAAACTCACGAGGGCTATCTGCGGAAGCGGAGGGATGCACTTTTGGAGGAAATTCTAAAGAAAACTTGTTCATATTCACGTTACACATGAGAAAACAAGTCATTCAACTTAACTGTTCGTCATTCAACTTAACCTGGATCAATCTCTCCATATTCAGCGAACTTAAGCTCTCGGCGAAAAATGGGACAGAAGTTTTTTGAAACTAACTGAAAATACACTTCTTTAGAACGCTAGCAACGAGTTTAGGTAATGCTAAAGGAAACAAAATTTAGCAAGAATACGCGTAAAGTAAGTAAAAAGGTGCAGCAGCTATAATTTTATTGGTAAAGAGAATTATTCTTCAACTATGAATACGAAAATAAAACAAACAGTAGTATGAGATTATATGCGAACGTAGAAAATTATAATGCCTTCGTAAAGTAAGGACATTTAGAGTTTACGAACCGAAAGTGCTGTTGAGAAGTTAGTATAGGGAACAGCGATACGGTTCTCAGAATTTTCTCTCACAGCGTTTTTTCAGTTTAGGTAGACAGTTCTCATGAGCTTTGCTTAGGTTAAATGATGCAATCTTAATCGAATTTAATGTAAAATTATCAAACAAAATAGGAATTTTACTTTTCAACTTATTGTCCTTTATCTTTGGATTCAGAATTTAACATTTCAGATAGCTAAATTTATGTTATATTCCTCCATGAACTCTGTAAATTACTATATAGAAAGCAACGAAAAAAAGTAAAACGCAGAAATAATATAAATGTAACAGCTTTTTCGAAAATCACAGAATGAATAAATTTCGAATACATACAATTTTAAATACTAATATTAAGTAAAATACTAATATAGTACTAAAGGAAACATTTTATGAAATACGAACTTTGGTAGCATTTCATACAGCAATGCGTCAGTTTTCTTTTTCTCTTCTATCAACTGATCTGTTCTTTCATCTACCAGAGCTTCGAGATTATTTGCATATTTTTCCATTATAGCCAACATATTATCAAAAATATTTGGTTTCCTGAGATAGAAAATGAAATAAAATGTCAGAGTCTTTACATGTGCTACATGTAAAAGAAACCATCTAAATTTAGGTATATTCCTGAATTTAAAAAAAAAAAAAAAAAAAAAAAAAAGAAAGAAAGAAAGAAAGAAAGAACTGTAAAGATGCTTTTTTAACAGAGAAAAAGATAAAATTTATCACTTGTATACTGATATAAAATGCGGTAAAAGTGCGTTTAAATGTCGTAATAATATTAGGTGTATTTATTTTATTCTTAATCAAATACCAATAATTAAAATTAAATTGAATTACATATCTGTAAACAATTTTAACCGAAACTTCAATGATTCCATGCTATTATTATAAAATGTTTGGAAGCTGAGTGTATTTGAATCTGAAGCTATGTTTATTATGCACTGTAAAATGTCATGACAGAACGTTTTAACCACATCATTAAGATAATTTCAATAAACTTGTAAGGTTTATCCTAAGTATTTAACAGTTACTTTTAGTTAAAGCTACTTTCCTGTCCATTATAATTTCAGCTTACAATTTCCTACCAAAATGTGTGTTTAGAATCGCGTTTAATGCAAATGAATAAGAGCAGTATTTAAGTCTGAGTTCCATTGACTTCGAGAGAGAGCCTCACAGTTTCTGACTAGCGGTGTTTGCCTTTTAGCTACGTCTCTTTAAGCTGATTTCTCCTATCTGATTACAGGCCGTTGATAGCTTCGCTAGCTTATTCGATATTTAGTGGCTTACTTAGAATTTTTATAGCTTCGGCTATATCTCTTTAATTAAGCATTAGTTAAGTCTTATTTCTTATTACTTTAAGTTCAAGCCCAAATGGAGGTTTTGCTGTACGCTTTGAGAAAAGGGCCATCTGTTAACTCTTATTTTGAGCAATAAAGGGTAATTAACACTTCTTGAGTTTGCGTCTCTGTTCCTGAACTAAAGCGATTATTCACTTAGCTGTTCATAAGGTTCCTACACATTTAGTTGATAGATAAAAGGGTAGAACCCCACAAACTCAGTAAAAACAAAAATGAATCTAGCTAATCGCTTAGCTCACAAACCAAACAGTAAGACATTCAAAGGTATCAATGATTTGGGCTACATTTCAAACCTATAAACTTGCAGTTCACTCAAGATTGAAGCGTACTTCCAATAACAATGATTTTATAAAACAATAGTATAAACTGTTTAAAATGGTAGAGTTTGTACCTATGAAAAGAACACAAATATAACACAAGCCTGAAATCCGGGCATCCAATACCCGAAATAACCTAATGCCCGGGCATCCAGACCACCCAGTCGAATAAATAAATAAAACATAAAAAATAACATAAAATACTAGAAATGGAGAACATTAAAACACTTTCTTTCTCAATAAAAGTAAGCACAACAAAAGTGTGCCGTAAATGAGATTTTGCTCCGGATTAACTGACATTTCTGTATGTCACATTCAAACACATGCTGGTTAAGAAAGTGGAACTGTCGCTTGTTCTTAATATTGGCCAGTATCAACCATACGGCCCTTTAGTGGTCATGAAGGGTTAGCATTTTTTCTATCTGATGTGTAAAATAAAGGAAGCTCCAAAGTTGCCATGCCGACACGTGTCATCTTATTAGATTTAAACTGGTGATCTAAAATCCGGAAATATTCGAAATTTGGAATCGTCTCAGATTTTGTACTGTAGGTATTCATGCTTTGATAATTTGCAAAATCTTTTCAATAGTCGATATTATGAAAGCCTAATTTTAAATTAAAACCGAATTTAATCCTGTCTGAAATTAGAAACAAAAACTTGAAACCGAAAACAAAATATTCCGGCCTTAAAATAACATGTATGATTTAAAAATTTTAAAGTATTTAGACTATTAGAAAATTTACATATTTTCAGGACGCATACTGTGCATAGTATAATAGTATAAACATTCTATCCAAATTCAAATTCAACCCTTATATAACGTTGATCATAATTCGCAGATTACCACTGGAAGTTTTATTTATCACTGGGAAAATTTATAAAAGTAATTGCATTTCAAACTATAAATTTAATAAGCACAAAAACCTACAACAAAAATCCATATTTAGCACTTACATTCCTCTTCTCATAGGTCTCAGTTTTGCTCTGATAGTTTTGAAGTCCGGCCGGTTTTCAGGTTCTTCAGACCAACATTCCTGCATACAATCAATGACACAGTCGAAAGAGCAATCTAGTTTCACAACTCGTGGGCGAAACGGAAGACTTCCCTTCCGAATAACATGCTTGATGATTTCTAAAAGATAAACAATTTTAAATTATCATCTTTTCTTTTTACATATTATATTATTTCTCAGTATAATTTTAAGTAATATCTTTTCTCTTAAAAATACACTACTCGCTATTAAAATTTCTACACCATAAAAGCGAAATGCAACAAACGTCAAACATGCACGACAGGTACTGTATGCTGGGATATGAAATGAATAGCATCCCAGCACATGCGCAGAAAGCAGGTATGAGTAATGCCATCATGTGTAAATGGGAAGATTGTAATTACCAGGACTTAGAAGAGAATGGCTAGCTCATAGAGCTTTTCCCCCTGAAGCAGAAAGTGAGAAGTTATGACGTAGTCATGATGACACTGAGCGCGCAGATGCAATTCACAGCTTGAAAATTAGCTGTTTTGAACCAGCGTTTGAAATGAGCTGTGTGTGATAGATAGCAATAATTTGGAAGAGACAATGTTACTGCTTTATGCATTTTAGACTGAACCATTAAAAAATTTAATAATACTTACTCAATTTTAAAATAATAGATAAAATGTGCTACTCTTTTAACATAAAGTTCCGTGGGTTTTTTTCAATTTTTATTTGCAGGTTTTTTATTTAATGAACGTTTATTTCTAATCATTTCTTTATCTGCATGTGAACTGAGAGAATTTTTATACTGCTTCTAAGATAACTATAATAGCAGCTATTTAAATTTACTCAAAAAACAATTTTACATTGACATAGTTTTAAACATATATGACATATATGGCAACATTTCTGCTAACCTACGTTTGATTTTTTGCTAATTGTAAATTTTACATTGTTATAATTCTCTTCCGATTCAATATAATAATTTTTTAAATAATTTTGTAATTTATACTTATATCTATATTACAATTAAATAAATGTATGTAAGATTGTTACCTTAATTTTGACAAAATAGCTTTACTCAGAGTACCTAATACAGTTATTTAATTTTTCAAAAGTGTGAGTAAAGGAAGCAAGTCTTTTTATGCCAATTACTTTAATGTTTTATACTATTATATTTTATCTAGAATGCTAATTTAGCACAAAATCTAATCAATAATTAGTTACAAAGGATACAATAAGAATAACTTTAACAAGTACTTAACAAAATTAGTTTGTTAAATACTTGTTATTCTTGTTGGTACTATTCATAATACCGAAGATATTATCGATTAACTCATAGAAGTCAGATGCTTTTTGATTTCCTGTGGTATACCTTTTGCGGTACTTTTTGAAAATAATGTTTTCTCTGGAGCGACTTTTTGTCTCTCGTTTCCCTTGACCATTAAATAGTTTGATTTTAGTTTGTGACATAATTTGATTTCTTCTCAATCTCTATTTAAAACCTCTTTAATAATAACAAAATTTAAAACAGTTCCATCTTCTAAACAAATCCTTTATCTAAAACGTGGTTTTTCAGTAATTTGAGGCAGAGCGCGAAATGAGACCTCTGATTAAAACAAACTGCACATTTTGAAAAGAACCGAGAACTTGGTCCAGTTTAGAGTCATAGCAGAGTTTTCAATCTATATGCATTTCGTCGAAACTGAGAACGCATATTTTTTCTACAGAATACAAATATTCGCCTCTTTCCTTCTTTAGAGTAAGAACATGACTTTGAATTCTTGGACTACACAAAAATTTAGCGCACCATTTCTTTAATTTGCTAATACTAGGTAAAGATATTCCAGTTTTTTCTTAATTTTTTCTTTCCAAAAATCATAGCTTTAAGATGACAGAGCTCTTATGACAATGCAACGTGAAATATCTTCACTAGTCCACCTGATTTTTTCCTTCTTTTTCAGTAATACATTAATCTGCGTCTTTATAAAAATAGGCTTTAGACATTTTTTCAAATTCTCCGATTTGTGCTTCCCCCCCCCCAAATTTTTGCTATTTGAGATTTTAATTTCTGATACCAATTTTTGTCTAGATGTCGTCCACCTTCTTTGCCGCTGAACAAACATTCTAAAATTTTTCTTTTCTCTATTTTTCAATACTTTAATACAATTTTCTAAGGATATTATTTTGTTCTTCAAATTATCAATGCATTCTTGTTTATCCTTAAACTTAGGGCATTCAAGAATATCTATATTTTCATTTGTGAGTTTTATTTCAAAATCATTAAAATTTGATTTACTATTGTCATCATCAATTTCGATTTATTATTGTCATCATAATTTACTTTCGGCACAGCATTCCATTTCAACAGTTTTTTTTGTGGCTATCCAAACAAGCGATTTTTCATATCATCTTCATAAACACTGCATAGAAAATGTTCGCTGCAGATTTTCCCGCTCTTCGCATTAATAGAATCTTGTCTTTGACATTTGTGTATCCATTCTTTCGTCAAAAGCAAAACCTCATTTGAATCCTTTGATCCCATGAAATAAAATATCTCATCCTTTCGTACTTCTGTAAGTGCTACGGCAAGTTACTACAGCGCAAAAAGCCATATTATGTAAACGGTACTTTACAATATAGAATTTAAAATAAAAACTGACTAAAATTACATATATATAAATTATTTTAAATATATACATTATTAGAAAACAGATATATATATATGATTAAAATTAATTTGGAATATGTAACCTCTAGAAAATCGTCTCGCAGCTGAATGAAAGTACAGTTTTAAACGCGGGAAATCAGAACAGGTGGCATCACAGTGACGTCAGATTACTGCCTGTTAATTTTCCCTATTAGGCTCGCGTCGGCGAGGAGTCGAACAAAGAAACGAGCTAGCCCTTTCTATTTATCCCTGGTAATTACAGGGGTTTTGATGATGAACATGAGCAGATGGTTGCAGTCTTTCGTTTTTAACTATTGTTTATCTATTGTTCAGCTGTATTAGTGACTTTTATTGCTAAAATAACTACTTTGCTTGAAGTGTGAACCTTCTTCGTTGTTTAATATTGCGTGGAAGGATATGTTTTATTTCAGATGCTTCTTGAATAGAACAAAATATAATGCCGACTATTTGTCTTCTTCCTTTCCGACTAGCGTTGTCGAGTTTCAACTTATGAATTTAACTCCAAATTCACTTGATGCACTCTTCATCGAGTAAATCAGAGAACCTAATCTGAAAGTTGGAAATGGTGTAAACTTATTACGTGTTTTACCTATGAATGATGAAGTTAATGCTAAATTTAAACATTTACGAGCTTGTTTGGACTAAAATCTCTGTAAGGTTACTAATCTTCGACGTCTAAACCTTTCAAGTCAAGATAATATTTAAAAACAAATTCTCTGTCACAACTAGTTCGTTCAGCTTCAACTTCTAAAGATGAGCGGAAATTCCAAAAACTGCGTTCAAGAGCGTGCACAGCGATGTGAATGTTGCGATGTGAATCTCAAAACAACAAGTTTTCTCCTTTAAGAGGCGATAATGCCATGCATACCGCAAATGCCGACAGTGATTCAGATTTTGAACAATCTACCAAAGAAGCTGGGAAGATCTAGCTTTTGTGATAACAGAACCCAAAATAAAATGTCGGCACTTAAAGTACAACTGCAAGGACCCGGAAAAATAGAAGCACAGGCGATGAATTAAAAATATGAGCATTTAACAGGAAGACTATCGCAAAGTTCAAAGCTTCTTTCTCGATAAAGTTGTTCTTTTTCATATGTATACGCTGCACAAAGATAGACCAACTAAGGTTATTAATAATAAATCTACGCATTGATATATCTGCTGATGGGATAAAGCTGGAGCTCAGTGAAAAAGAATTTCACTTAATCAGAGTTCGTCAGCTAACAAAATATGAAGGAGGTGAATGCACAAATTTAACATTATTTCTTATTGAAACTAAACGAAATGATAAAGGCTAAGAAATCTGCAAAATTACATATAGTCAGTGGATAAAAATAAATGTGGAACCTATGCACCAAAACAAAATCCACAACAGTGTCACGATTACCAGTGATATGGTCATTACTAGTCCTCTTGTCACAAACCTTGCTCACTTTATGAAATGTGACGAACCGCACAAAACGTATAAATGCAAACATAAGAAAGAAGATGGCCCAGGTACCCACGCAAACTATGGATCAGACCATATCTGAAGTTATAAAGATTGTCATAAGAACCCGAAGTATCTAAAATCCGAACTGAAAAGTCTAAATCCAACCCCCATAAAGAAAATAATTTTTCTTTCCTTGAAACTAAAGTAAAATGAAGCGAAACTTATTCTTCAAAACAGGACGATAACTTCAATGTTAATCCCCAACAGAGGAAAGGATTATCGAAATTCCAGAGTATCTTCTAACGTTAACAATACCATAGAAAGGGAAGAAAGCTCTTTTTTTGCTGAATAGATTAAAAAAATATCAGAAGGCAAAACATGATTTATAAAATTCAAGACAGCTGCATCTCTACTAGGTCAAATTCAAACTGAGATCGAAGCTTTAAAATTTATTACATCAGCAGATTATGGATTTTAATCAATTTTAATACTTCATTATGAATCCAAATCAAACACGCAACTGTTTCATAAATTTGCCTATTTTAATGCAAATAGCACTGGCCGCCAAGTTCATGAACTTGTTGAATTTATAAACACACAAAAATTGATGTTACGATGACTAATGAAACCCATCTTCGGCCATTTGATAAACTAAAAATTCAAGACTGCAGTATTATTTGCAATGACAGCTTTAACACGATGGCGGAAGAACAGCTGTAACTATCAGAAACATTATCAATTATTATCTTCTTAATTCAATTCCAACTTACTCAAAATCTCGTCGCTCTACTGTTGCAATTATTTATAATTAAATTTAAAAGAAACGGTATCTTTCATTTCAGTTTATAATCCTCCGCCTAATCAAATTATTCAGTAAGAACGTATTACTAACCTATTCTCATCTTCAAAATATTATTGCAGGTGACTTCAATGCCGAAAGTCGACTTTGGAACTCAAGAAACCCTAATGCTAACTAAAGCATTCTGGAATATTACGCTATTCATAACAGAATCAAATTTATTTGTCCTTCGTTTCCTACAAGATATCAGATTATCTGCAATGGTGAAGTTTCTGACACTCTTGTTCTTAAAAATACTATGCAAACTCCTCACATCGAA